TTAAGCGTTGCCATAGTTTTCTCAGTCAGTAGTGTCATCATAGTATCAATTATATCCCTTACCGTGTGCTTCATTTCACGCGGACATCACCAGCGTTCTTCAATCACCGAGTTGAACAAGGGACTTGATCACAGTTTGAAAACGTAAATGCCTCAGAGCCGTTCCCTCAAACTTTTTTTGTCTTAATATGAAGCATAAATCAATTATTAGAGAATTACTACCTAGGTTCAATCTTCGTTGTTTTCATGGCAACGAGAATTATGCACGATCAATTTTAAATGATGTTTTTCTTTTTCTTTATGGTCGTTGATATCCAAAAGATGTGCACTTTGCTAAAGCTATAGTATTATACCCATTCTTGTCAGGATTTGCTGCTTAATTATTGGGTTGGAAATATCTCGTAAAGTCCATCAGTAAGATTTAAAGAAAATGGAGACTAAACTGAAAGGAAAGACAACGATAAGATGTTTATATTTGGCCCTCATAGGATTAATGTTAGCCTCCTCAAAGGTTCACCAAATGATGATACAGTTTCGTTCAACCATCGGAAAGATAGTGGTCTTAAATATCATCCAAAGGAATTAACTATGTCCTTTCTTTAGACTTAACGATCAGGGTCAGGTTTATTAGTCAGGCCGGTTAATTTCAAGACCAAAATGTTACAATATAAAGCTTCAACACCTATATTAAGTAATTTTAACCAGCTTCCGCTGCCCCAATTTACTAGTGGGAGATAATAACATTACCACCAAAATATTTTGGTTTACAATTATAAATAAAAAGACAAAAGACGTGTTTTTTTATCTATTTTGTTGTTGATGTTTTTGATATTTTTCTCTTCATTTATTTTCTTGCTTTTTCAGTTGTCGCGGTTTTTTTTCTTATTTGTTTGGTTTTTGTTTTGTTCCTGCTGTTTTTGTTTTCATTCGGTTTATTCTGGTAACATTTTAGATACAGCCCTAGCTTTCCCCCCACAAAAAAGCTCTCTAGGAATATGATTTTCATTATTTCTGCTACGCTATTTTCTTTTCTTTTTTCCGATTAGGGTAAACGTTTTACAAGGATTTAACGCTTGTTCCAAAATTAAAGACTTTCAAAACCCTTTCACTCCAGTGGTGATCAGTAATAACATCTCCTGGCATCTTTAATATATTGACAACAATACCAGTCTTGGGAACTGAGAACGTTACCATATCAACTAAATTATATTTGCCAAACAAAAACACAGATTCGCGGGATTCCGAAAAAAAAGTTGTTCGCAATCAGTGGACTCATCAAGAAGAACTAGTGTTTTCATGATCTAGACTGGTTGTCAATCTTTTGTTAACTAGCTGATATAATGGGAACGATCAATTACAGCTTACGTGGAATTTTAGTTCAGAATGCACTATAAATCATAACCTTTTGCAAAAAGTTTGAGGTTGATGCCGGAACATCGAAATAAATCACTAATAAATAAATAAATGATGCTACAATGCAAGCGTAAAGAGTTAATTCATAAATCTAATTTCGTATCTAGTTACATTTAGAGTGAAATGAGACGGAAAACAAAATGGAGAAATATCAAAAGAAGTCTGTGTGACGTAGTTGATCATTATTTGATTCCTAAGTCTTCTCATCAAAAGCCTGATATTCATTAAAAATGTCCCCTCTGAGGATCTTATTCTCATAGACATGATCTCTTGGGTATTTAAAGATAGACGCACAAAGAAATCCTCCCTTTATTCTACAATTATTCGAATGGTATTGCAATCATTACTTAAAAACTATTCGAATCCAAGAGAACCTTCGGTTCCCGATGCATGGCTTTTGATGGTACTCCAGCCGCCTGTTGGCTGCACTAACGGGAGGTCCAAGTGCAAACGCAGTTTTTTAAGAGCAATTTGTAAATAAACAAAACTTTAACATTTTTTTCCTTGTTAACTCCAATTATACCTGGGTTTCGTTAAGCATTGTCGTTGGATCAGTCCGAAATCTCGTACTTCTTTGAGTCAAGGACATATTCACTGGAGCCACTCGAAGCGCTTGACGTATCGTCACTCGGCGTCTGCAGCGGCTTAGAAGCCTTACAAACGTTTTTCGCAGCTCTAAATCGCGGAAGGCGTACACTAATGGATTCATGGCGCTGTTACTGTACTGGAGCCATTTTGAAAACAGAAGAAAACCCGAGAGTTTATGGAAAGGAAAGCACTCTCTGCAAAACACCGAAATGGTGCTCACTGTAAAGAAAGACAACCAAGAAACAAGAAAAAGCGCAGTCACAAATGTAAGGGTGAGGGCTGTGCGGCGTTGTTTTTTTAAGTTCTTGCGTATTTTGTTGCTTTCTTCCTGATTTGCTATTGTTGGAAGATTGGAGATCAGCGCCCGAGCCACCTTAAAAATGGAAATGTTGACAACGCTCACAAGAATTCCTGGTCCAACATAACCAACGAACAACAAAAACGGAGTGTAAATTCTGTATGGACTATTGTTCGAGTCACTCGAAGATTTATCCAAGGCAGGTCGAATTGCTGCTATCACGGAAGCTGTCATCCAAACACAGCATATGACTATCGTATAATGTGTCGTGGAGAGTGCTTCGTGAATAAAGGGACGCGAAATGGCTAACCATCGTTCCAGGCTAACGGTTGTTAGATGGAAGATTGAAGCCATTGCACTTAAGATGTCGAAGGAGATGAAAAACGTATTCAAAGGTCTGTAATGTGCGCCTGTCAAACTGATGTATATCCACAGAGGTAGAGATACACATCCCACCAGTAGATCCGAGATAGCCAAACTCACCAGAAACGTGTAGGTACCAGTGCGGAGTCTTAAGTTTGAAAAATACGATGCCACTACAAAAGAATTTCCAGTTATGATCACAAACATGAGAGCCACGCAAAACAGTATCTGAAGAGCTGAGCTCCAGGACATTTCAACCACCATCGTCTAATTAAGCTAAAAAAAACCCTGTTAAATTCGAGACATTGCTAGTTATGAAGAAATATGCTTCACAATCGCAAAATCTTCATCCTGATCTTCATTAACAAAAGTCCACAAATCGACAACTGGAGTTTTAATGTTGACTTTGACGTTGTTGGGGTTGCAGAAGTAACCTCTTGATTTCTTGTTCTCAATCAAAAGCTGATAAAGACCAATTCTTCTAATAAGTGTTCCGTTATCTGAAAAGAACAAACGACAAAACTGAACAAATTTGTCGGGTTTGCTCTAAAAAGGATGGAAACCCATCAGTGATCTCTTTCACATTGCCACAATGAAAAGGACACATTTAGTCATCAGAGAGCGGGAGTAATAGTCACCTTATGAAAACAATTCCAAACCTTATGCCAACAAGACTGGGAAACTGAACGATCAATTTCACTTCACCGTTTATCACGTCCTCGAAGGTGTCTTCGCTTTTCAAGTAATGATAAACACCCTTCTACAAAATTGGTTCCCATGCTTTGTTTTATGCGAAGACAATCGAGAAGACACTCCATTTACAAAGGAAATGGTTTGCCTTAGTTTTAATCAATTCTCGTTCGGTTGAGTACACAGCTGTCCGTGCTGTTAGCATGGCTTTAGAAATGCAAATTATCGGGAAAAGCCTTCATTCTTCTCCAATCACCACTTGATTAAACGCATTAATTGATAAGAAACTTTTTCTCCTCAGGAATAAGCTTTTTTATGCCATTCCCTTTACAAAACAATAGGCAAATACAGTACTGAAAACAATCTTCATTCTCAACTTAGATATAAAGAAATATTTTGCAGAGGCACTGCATTTATTCAAAAGCTAGAAAAAACATCACCGGTTTATGATGACATTGTGTTTCATTCATGGCCAGCTATTGACAGATCTTGAGTGAAAGTTGACAATGTACCTTCCGTTAATCCCTCATATTGCATAACATTATCATATTATGACACTCTTGGCATCAAAGCTCTCCAAAAAAAAATTTACCTGACCTTTTTATTGTTTTATTCTGTTTTATGTTTCTTTTTTCTCGTTGGCTCAAATGCGGCTAAGCCCAACATTTCGATTGTAGAAACTAGGGTTTATAATTACAATTATCTTGCGCGACATGTCAACCTTGAATATTTTAAAGAAATTGTTTATGGCTAAAACATATTCAGAAAAAGGAATTTCCGGCGGCGTATCTACTATACTGAAGTCGAACCATGCCATATCAGCTACAGTATCGCAGGCTGAGGGTATGGAGATCATCCACAGCCTGAGTGCTTCTATGACATGCTGCGATCGATGGAATAATTTTGCGCAATAATGGAAGTGAACATGGCATACTTTTGTGCCGGACTGTTGATAAAAGTAAACGTTATTTTTCAGTTAGAACACTTTCCTTCTCGGGATGATAATCACATAACCTGATACGATGCATGGTTAGACCAACAACAGGAAATTATAAATTCAAATCACAAAGTCATAGATTGGACTCCTCCCACGTATTTTTTTTTTCAAGTATATCAACGTCAAACATTGTCTGAAGAAACATCTTCACTACGACGAATGGCTTTCGCTCGAAACGCTAGCTTCAGGAACTCTTTACCTCGGCCAATTTACATTATCAACTCAGATTTAATACCTGGCGGCATAGACGCAGCACTTAAGTTTCTTTAGAACGTTACCGCTTGAAAAATATCATAGTTCACTTTTATTACCAGACTTTAATGGATTCTACTTCCTTCCGTCAAACTAAAGTTTAGTAATTGTTTTCAAAAGTCGGAATTATTTTATCTCAAGCTCGACATGGCCTAACTCATCGAAGATCTATTAAGAGCAGGGATTTAGGAAGAAATATGGAAATTTTTTAGATTAATTAAGGCTAAGATATTTTTTATTGCACATAAAAGTTAGAGTATTATATAGATGTGACACACAGTGATGTTTTTCGCAATTTAGAATGTTGACGAGGCATTCATTAAATGGACAACTCGGGTAAAGTGAATTTTAAATCCGGTAGAAACAATAAAAGTTAAATAGCATCCTTTTGTCCAACTTTCAAACTTGGCAATAACTAAACAATCATAACAAATTTTAAAGGTGATTTTTGTCAGTTAGGTTATTAAAATTAAATGGTATTGCTAAATGCGAGAAATATATATCCCCATAAATTACCTAATTTCCTACAGCTTATGAGATTCGATTTTTATCGCAAGGAAATTTTTCATGTCATGTCACCTGAAAATTATTCTAGCACTTTTTCGAATAATTCTTCACATCATAGCGTTATAAGATTGGCCACAATTTGCTGGAAGATTAATCGTGCAAGGATATCTTTTTTATAAATATATACTTTCATCGCGTTACCATTATTTTCCTGCAAAAGCATCTTAAGCAAATTCAGCCGAGAAAAAGCACTAAAAATAAGAATTTTTCAGGTCTTGATATGCATATGAAATAGGTAGGAAAAATAAAACATGCCTTACGCTACGATGTTTGAAACGTTCGAGAAGATTAGGAAGTAGAGAATAATCTTTAGAAGTCTTTAAATACGGGGAATTAATTAAGCTCAGTTTTTAAATGTGATTTCTTAAAATTGTAATATGAAAAATGGGCCCAACTTATGCATACTGTTCCTTTCAATATGTGCAGTTTCTCGAAACCTATACTCTGTGAGCCATCGAATAAACGAAAATATATATTTATTTTTATGCAGAGTTTGATGCTCGTGTTTGATTCATGTCGGGTTAAAATCGAAGAAATAAAATCATACAGGATGAGTATTCGCCAAGTTAAAATTTCACGAAGAAAGACAATGTCGATAGTGAAAATGAAGTAACTTTAGTATGCTACTAATTTCGTTTGAATCAAATAAGCTATTGATGAAGAATTGCAAACTTACATTGTGAGGAATATTCTGTTGACGATCCCTATTCTGAGAAAACTATTCCTGTGGAGCTGTTCAGACTGTCATTTTGAAGAACGCTCCTGTTTGTTCGAAGGTTTTTTTTCTATTACGATGACAATAGTTTGGTGATTAAAGCAAAGTTTGATCGAAATTGCTCGCAATTTCTGAGTTACCAAAACCAACAAACGAGCTTCGTTGTCAAATATTAAATCAACAACAACAACCAATTGGATGATAAGTTTAGCGATTTCACTCTTCTCAATTACAAGAATACGTTTAAAAAAAAGGAATATTCCTAAAACATGACAGCGTTTCACGAAGGTATCTGGTAATCATTGCAGCTCAAGCTAAGAGCATGATGTTCTCAAAAAGGTATATCTAAACCTAAGATCAATTTTTTTTTTATCAGCGTCATGATCAAAATTTCATAACGAAGCATTTTCCAGATCG